TACTTACTACTCTGTAATACTAACCTTCAGTAATACTTATGGTGCGTATGTATGTACAATTAATGTACTAACTAGTCTAATTTTATGGTGGGTATGTACATGTTTATATTTAAAATTTAACCAATATCTTTTCAAAATAAATTTGAAAAGAACTTTTTTAAATAAAGAAATATAAAATGATTACTTTTTTTGTAATATATTTGCATATATGTTCGTTTCAAGATTGTCCATCCGGATTGAATATTTTGACTTCTCATGTTTAAGTACTTCTTTTTTTAGTATAGGTATTTTGTACAAATCCACTTATTCTCACCATTTTAGAAAATCTACCCATCATGAAACTCCTTTAAACATGAGGAAAATTCAAAACAGAACAACGAAATTCGGATAGGAGGATCGAGTAACACAAATCACAATTGTACGACTTTTGAAATAACGTTGGGAGATGGTGTGACAATTCCTCTTCACGACACTTATATTACACATTAGTACAATTAAATAAAAATTTGAATGTTAATTTTTTTAAAAGTTTTGCCTGAATAAATCTAATAAATCTATTTTTATTTTATTATACATTACAATTTTTGTTTAATTGAAGTTTAAATTGATCCAGTTTCACTTGAAAAAATAATATAATAGAAATATATACTATGACTGAGGAAATATACATTAAAATAAAACCTTCTAAATAGGAGTAAAACATGGATCATATCCTCAAAATAAGAGTTCAAACTTAAACTAACTCCCCTAAATAGAAATATAAGTAACTAATTAAATACTCCGTATATGATTTAATTAACTCTCATAGCCGCACAAACAAGTTGGCCGCACAAACCAAGTTGGGTGCACAAACCAAGTTGGACTTCCAATACTCATTAAACAAAATTATGGCAAAAAGTAGAGTTACTTGATCGATATTTAACTCTTTGATATTATACATTAACATCTGTGATATTTAACATTATACATTGATATATCTTTATTATACATTACCAGGAATGATATTATACAATGTCAAAGTTGACATTATCTATGTAATTTGTTTAGCATTATGCATTCGCATGTATGACTTTATACGACATTGGCATGATTGCCATTATATGATTACATGTAACATTTCATATAGTCTTTTTTGACACTGTATGGACATTTTAATTTAGAAATAATTTACTACTCCCTCTGTCCTAAAAAGAATGAGACGGTTTAACTTTTTGGGAAATTAAGGGATGGATCTTTTGGTATTAACTTTACAAAAATACCCTTGATGTGATGAGTAGATTATTAGAAAAAAGGTATGATGTGATAGGTAGGGTATGAAAAAGTAAGGGTAAAAGTGGTTTTTTAATACAAAAGTAATGAACTTTACGGGATGTAGTTTTTTCTAAACGTAACAAACTTTTTGGGACGGAGGGAGTACGTTTCTATATGTAATGTATTGATTCATTTTTTGTTGATGAAGTTTTTGGTGTGTTTTGTTATTATATTTAATTTTATTTACGTTCAAATTTGTTATTTTTTTTGTTGATTCAGTTTGATAATGATTCAATAAGAATTTACTATATATTAAGATGACTGAACAAGAGTCTCTGCCAACAATACGCAACATGAAAAGTTTTTTTTAATAATCATACGATTGATTTGGGCAGCAGTTTGTGGAACTACTAGGTAAAGCAAGGACAATGTTCACATGGTCATTATGTTACAACATTATGTTCACATGGAAGAGTTGAAGAGGCGCTAGAGTCTTCTAAGCAAATGATAAGGTGTTAAAATAAATTAAATTACATTTTTGACATTACTAAATTTTTTCTAATTTCTAGAACTGTCGGAGGTTGAGACTTAGAGGCTTGGAGTGTATGGGTGTGTAAAAGAGTATGAAAATTTTAATTTTAAAAAAAATAATTAAATAAAGAGGAAATTGCATGGAAGAGTGAAGGTCCTAATTGGAAACAAAGGATTTGAAAATGAGAAATTTACTTAAATAGCACTAAAACACAATGATTCTCCCTAAATAGCACTATATGTGTTTTTCTTCCTAATGTAGCACTTTTAGTCATTATGCATTAGTTATTATTCAAGTGCTATTTAGGGAATAAAACAATTTAAGTGCTATTTAGGAAAATGACTTAAGTTTTAATGCTATTTAGTGCAAATATTTCTTTGAAAATTCATGCATGAGACGGATTAGAACAGTGCACCGAACTCCGGGGTTGAAAATTCAGCACATGTACCTATATAAGGAGTTTTGGAATTTAGTCATTGTTTAGTTTTGGGAGATGCATGAGTCATTATTTTTGGAGTAAAAAAAGTATAGTCATTGTTATGTTAGTTACTCCTATTTAGGTGAGTTTAAGTTTCAACTCCTATTTTGGAATATGACAACTCTTTTATTCCTACTTTGGTCCATCTCCCATATATCAATTTAAATTCTTTCCTCTGCTTAATTACCATAATACTCCCTCCGTTCTTCAGTATTTGTCTACTTTCATTTTTACACACCATCCAATACACTTCTTTAATCCATTTTATCTTGTAATTTTTATATTAAAAAGTTATAAAAATTACTCCCTCCGTCCTATTTCTTTCTTCCTGGTTCGCAAAACGAAGAAAAATCCCAAGTTTTTTCAATCTATTTTATTTAAATATTGGTATAGAAATAAAAAATAAAACATATATATTTAAAAACCACATCAAAAGTGTTGGAAAACATTTTCACTTTGACATTTTGCTAATGACAATGTTTGTTTCCGTTTAGGTTTTGATATTGACAAACCGTCGGGAACATGGAACAAAACGAAAAGATAGAAAAAGTTCTTTGAAGAAACAAAAAGCACAAGAACGGCATTGACGTTGCTAAAGATGGCGACATTGGCGCTTTGAAGACGTATTCTAAAGACTTAGGTTTTATTGTAACAAGCTCATTCAATTTCTCTACGTCATGGCTCAAAACAAAATATGTTTTTCATGCATCAAATTAGTGTTTTCATAAATAGTTTTTAAGTTTCTAAAACCCATGGTACTTGCTTAACCAAAACCATAACCATCGGTTATCGGCGTTCGGCTATGGCGTTCGGTTTTCGGCATTGGTTATTGGCATTGATTTTAACCAAATGGTTTTTGGGTTTTTATCTTTGGTTTATGCTTCTGGACACATTTAAAGGTTTTCCAAATGATTAGTTTTCAAAAACCATAACCTTTGTTTTTCGGCGTTGGTTATCGGCATTCGGTGCTGGTTATCGGTGTTGGTTTTTGGTGCGCAAATCAATCAAGTGGTTTTTAAGATTTTATGATTGGTTTTTACTTCTGGGCATATCCAAATAGTTCTCCAACAAAAACATGTTAAAAACCACCTTTCG